GCGGCCGTACTTAATCTTGTTAAGCGGCTTAGTAAAGCTATCGGCTATCTAATTATATATACTAACCTATTAGACTATAATAGAACTATTAGCAATCTTCTCTCGGATATAGTAGACTCGAGCATCTATATGCTTCGTGCGGCTATTAATGCTAGTCGACTTAGTAATAGCAATAGCGGACTAATTGTCCTCGTAGAGCGTAACTAGAAGAATATAGCCCTTATAGCTAATTTCCTTTAATAAACGAGCTAAGGCAACTGCTTCCTTAGCCCCTATAGTAAGTTAGACATACTTAGCTTCAGTTAACGACAGTATAACAAGCGTCTAGCGACCGGACTTATATAATAGAGGTCCGCCTACAATAGTGAAGTAGAAGCTACCTATAGAGCGACGAGTAACTAGGTTATTAGCCTATAAGGCATTACAGTATCTAGCAAAGTTGAGCTTATCGTTCTATGTGCCTTAGAAGCGCATACTACGACTGAGGGTACTAACTAGGTACTTAATTAGCTAAAGGAGTGCGGTATAATACTCTTTAGTAGGGTTAGAGATAAATCGTAATAATAGGCCTATAGTATAGCAAGCATTAGGTCGTATAATTATAGCTAGCTAGAGGGCTTTACTAACACCCTCCTAATATTGAGTCTTAAAGGCGGCACTAGCTATATAGCCTTTAGGTGTACGCTAAATCGATGTCTTAACGTATCGAGGCGCTATTAGAGTAGCTAGACCGATACGGCTACGTATACTATATTTCTTACTAAGCCTATTTAGATAGGCATCCTAAACGATATAGATAGTGCGCTAGTTGCGGTTACGGATAATCCGCATGCCGAGATAGTAGTACAGGTTACTAAGTTCTCGTATATTAAATCGGTCCTTTAGCATCTAAGCAACGGCTTCTAGTGCTAATAGGCTGTAGGCGATAATAATTATATTATCGACGTAGATAACGATAATCGAGCCGCTAACAACGTGTTTAAATATATATACGTTAGTTATTATTAGTACAAAGTCTAGGCTCTTTAAGTACTTCCGAAGCTCTTTATACTATAGCATTAGTAACTGCTTTAGACTATATAGTACCTTTAGCAATAGGCAAACCATGCCCTTGCTACTACGGTCCTTAAAGCTATATAGCTGCTCGACGTAGATCTTATGCTTATCCCCGATAAGTACGTTAAGGAAGGCAGTTAGAATATCGTACTACTTAGCCTCTAGGTTATAGTATACAATTAGACCAAACAAGGCTCGAAGCGTGCAAGGCTTAGTAATAGCCGTATAGGTCTCATTATAATCCTGTCCCTTAACTTGTGTAAAGCTACGGACGACCTAACAAGCCTTAAAACGGCTTATATTGCTATTAGCGTCTCGCTTAATAGTAAAGACCTATCGGCTACGGACAACTTTCCTGCCTTCTAGCACCTCTAACCGAGATATATAAACCTATATATAGTTGTCGATTAGTAACTTGTATTTAGCCTTACAAGCTTCTTTCTACTATAGCTAGTATAGTAATTCCTTAGCGGCCTTGAAGCTCTTCGGAATTGGAATAGTATCGTTAGGCTTCTGTTTAGCAATATAGTAGGCGGCTATAAAGCCCTTTATATAGGCTATAGGCATGTTAGTAAGGGTGCGGCGCTCTTTGCGATAGAGAGCGCCTATATCGGCTAGATAACTATATAGCAGTTTACGAGCGCTCTTGTTGCTCTATGTCTTGCGTATAGAACGACTACTAACGCTGTCTAGTCGCTCAAATTTAGGCAGCTAGCTAGGCTCGCCCTTCTTAGCGTTTAGATTATATGCTAGCTCTTCCTCGGCTAACTAAAAGCTATCTTTATTACTTGAAGCTAGTAGTTAAATGTCTAGCAGGTCATCGTCGAGTAGCAACGGACTAGCGACCTTATTAGTCACCTCTATGTCCTAAGCAGGCTCGTCTAGAGGTTCTTCTTGCTAGGCTAGAAGCTGCTAGACTACACTAGCGGCTTCCTATAGCGACGGTGCCTCGTTGCTTATAGAATTAAACAGAGCCGGCATAATAGACTCGAGTGTAACAAACTCGTTTTCAGCTAGGTCGTTAGGATTAGCGTATAGATTCATGCCCTCTAGAAGCAACAGCTTATTAGCCGTCTCAATAAATTGGATATCCTTTAATAGAATAACCTTATACTAGTTAGGGAGGTAAATTATATATTTTCCTAAGTCTGCTAAGTCCTTAGTATAGCCGACTAGCTTGCTAACAAGGCCTCTACTATCTATCTTCTTTCTACGAGCAACTCCGTAATTATATATAACAGCAGTATAGCTATAGGCTCGAAGGTGTTAAAGGCGTAGCTGCTTCCGAGACTAATTAAGCTCCCTAGCTACAATAGTATAGGGGCTAAGACCTTCTAAGTTTCTAGGAGTAATATTAAGAACCTATATAGCAGTAGTAACTGCATATAGCTACAGGGCCTTTAGCAAATTAGCATAAAGCATTATCTTCCGAGCGGTCGTATATACGATATAATTGCTAACCTTAGCTAGACTATTCTAAGTAGAAGAATAAGGAGCTATAACCTGTAGTACAATGCCCTAATCACGAGCCTAGCTTAACAGCTAATTTCCGCTATACTTACCCCCTCTATCGAGGTAGTAGATCGGGATCGAATAGCTAGTTTGTATACGGACGTGTATACGGTAATCCTTAATTGCTACTACAGCCCCTAACTTTAGTAAGCTAGCATATTCGTATCGATAACCTAACTTAGCGTATATAAATAGTGTAAAATAGCGCTCCTATAATAGACTAGGATTGGTGATAGTAACTACATCTATACAAACAATGTAATAGATTGTAGATAGTCGTACGCGTAGCAGCCGATTGTATTCCTTATATAATATAGCTATTCGATAGGCAATGCAGTTGCGGAAGTCGTTCTTGTTGCTAGTGCTAGTAATAACAATCTAACCCTTAGCTTCTATTCGTAACAGCTTGCGATAATAGATATAGCTATATCGCAGATGCCACTCTTCTATCGTACCTATCGGTACCCCCTTCTTCGACAGAAGCGTAACAACCTAGCTATCCGGACTAGAGGTTGGTATATGCAGATAGGGGAGACTATTCTTTCGGTATGTTTAAGCAACAGTAACCTCCGAGCCGTTAACAACAGTAAACAGCACGCGCTTGTCGTTCCGATAGAAACAGCCCTTGTTAGCAAGCTTCTTAGTAGATAGGAGGTTAGCTGCTAGACCTAGTATATATAGCGTATTAGACAACTTTATGCTGCTTATACTACGCTTATTAACTACCTTAGTCTAAGCCATTCCGACTATCGTAGCGTGCTTCGTGTTGCTACCAAACCGGACAGGAATGCAACAGCCTTTATATTTAATAAGCAATAAAGGGTCGTTAACTATATATATGCTAGTACCTAAGTCGACAACCTAATTAGTAGTACGAGTGCTAGCAGTAAGAGCTATAGAAACCTAGTCGCTAACGGTAACTATAGTGCTTATAGTAAAGGCGTAGTTGTTATTTAGGTCTAATAACACCCCCGGGGTAGCATTAGCCGCATATAGCCCCTAAGCACTATTCTAACTAGATAGCGGCTACTGCTGTTGCTAAGCAGTTAGTCTACGCTGCTGCTATTGCTACTGCACCCCCTTTTTCTCAGCCTTCTGCTATTTACGACGCAGTCGGTCTTCTTCCTTTAGATAAGGATATTTAGTATAGCAGCGGTTAGAAGGGTGCGACCCCTAATAATAGGCGCACTTCTTACGGTTAGACTAATAACTATTCTAGTTGTTTCTACTACGACTACGACTATTGTTGCTATTTCCGCGGCTACTACGACCGCTATAGTTCGAGTTACCTTATTACTACCTTGCTGTTGTAGTTAGCGTTAAAGACCGAAGAAGCTACTATACTAGGCCTAGTTCAGTTAAGCCACATTCTTATTAAGCAACGCGCTAATAATGTTATTAAGGGTGCTATTATTAATAGTATATTCGGAGGCGCGTATCTGCTCTCGGCGCATCTATACGAAAGCCTCGTAGAATAGAGAGATCTACATAATAAATATGTAGATAGCCTAGTATTAGCTAATAGCTAATTTAGTATCCTTTAAGGCACTAAGCTTCTTCTTATAATTATTGCAGAACTTCTTAATGTCCTTGCTATTATACCGAAGGGTAATATATTCCTAGTAGAGCATGAATTTAGTAGACCTACCTTTACTAGTGTATTTCTTCTTAAGGAAGTCCTATACTTCCTAGGATATAGACAGACTAAGTAGTAATTATTAAATGTTACTAATACAATTAGCAAAGATCTAGGTACGTGCTGTTTAATCTTTAGAGTCCCATTTATTTTAGCGGTCTTTAAACTCTTTAGAAGTCTTACTAGATGCCTTAGTAAGGGGTCGCTAGCGGGTGCCTTATATATAGCGCTAGACCGATATACCTTTAAGGGCGCCTTTAGCGGCGTAGGCCTATGCTAGATAATTCTCCTTATTCTTTAGCTTAGGAATGTTGCTTATATAAGCGTTAGTAGTTGTAGGAGGAGCTATTACGGACAGCGACGGCTATATAGAAAGAGACTATAGACTTGTCTTAAGAGGCCGCCGATAGGCGCGCCTATATTATATTAGTATAGCGGATAGCCGACACTATTGTTAGGAACTAGTATAGCGGATAGCTAACACGGATAGTAACCGACTCGAGTCGGACTAGCACCTACTAGAATACTCGAGAGCGGCGAGGGTAGCGGCGACGATATTAGTATTAGCGCAATTTTTAGTAATAGGCGCTAGCTACGTAGTAGTCGGATTGACTATTAGAACACGTATAGAATGCGTTAGAAACGCAGGGGGCTCATAACCACTTGATGTAACTAATGTAATTAGGAAGAAGGACTAATCTATCTGGAAGTCCGAAGATGAAGTGTAGCAGTTGCAGCCTCAGGCATCAGGCACGTGATGGACCCTGACACCTGGACACACACTCCAAGTCATGACGGGGAGATTGTCGCCGGCTCGAGCATCTTTGCGTCTCCAGATGTTGACGGTTAAGCAGTCTTCGCTTTGAGATTGCCCGGGTGAGAGCAGGAAGCCGCGAAGGAGTTCGGTGTAGACTGTCTTTTCGCCGTTGCTGTATTGAATGCAGGAGGGACCGAACCAGGTGCCATTGATGACTTCCGAGCTTGCAGACTTTGTAACCGGAGGGCGGAATCGGAGTTCTCCTAGAGGGGGTTCGGCGTAAGGTATGTTGCCGAAGAACTGTACGTCAGAATTATTCGGCCAGATTGTGCCTTGGACAGCGAAGTTGTCTTTTTCAATCAACAGACTGTCATCTTTGTGATGCAGAGGTTTGCTTTGAGCAATTGACAATAGCGCCACGAACTGGTAACATGATCGGGGCTTCATGGTTCAACGCCAAGGCTGAAATCGTTGAAAGCTTGAGTTTTCCTTGGGACATTCGATGATACATGTATGCTGTACCATTTCAACTTTCCCCTCATTTGCAACCAGGGCATCTGTTCCCGGTGTAATGATATAGCGCAACCCGAAGTCATGCCAAAGTGTAGTATTAAGTAGCGGAGTAGGGTAAAGACTTTTCCAGATCAAAGGCTTGGCATTTGCCTATAAGGCGGTCAGTGGAGACCTGTTACTTTACTGCCATTAGTATCATCCGTTCATCCTAAAAAGCCTCTTCCCATAACCTCTCAGTGTCGTTCATCAGATGCTGCGTCTTGTGTCGAGAAATGAATTGATCCTTGAATGGGTAAAGCGCGTCAAGAAGATGCAAGGGTTGCCTAAAGCCTGCAATGTTGACGAGAATATCATGCGTGGGTGTATTATAGCGCCGACTGTGGTCAAAGCGGCAATCTGCATGGCAAGCACGTCGGCACTCTGGGTCTGGAAGATATGTATTTCAAACCCAAGCCGATGTTTATCGACATGAGAAAATTCATGTCAATCGAAAGTGTCGTCACTGATTCAATCTTTGCTGTCCATGCCTGCACTCGCAGTGCTCATTCGGCCTCTTTTAACGGCTTCCACCAATGGCGTATGGTTCTTGGCATCCAGCACCATCATGGTATGTTTCGAGAAGGAAGATCGCTTTGCCGGCTCATGAGATCAAAAACCAGTGAAGGGATTTCGAGCCCGGTGGCAGTCCAGCTTTTGCCGAGTGTGGCGGTTACGACCCTCCACCGCCATGGCCAGCGTGATGTCCAGCGCTACTTGCAAGCTCACCAATCGAACTAGCAAGATCCGTGACATTCCCTTTGCTTGCGCGGCGGGCAGCTTCTGCCATCGCCACGGCCGACAGCAAGATCTCCTCATAATTCGAGTCGCTCATGCGGCCAGCTTCAAAAGTGAGAAGATCGCCATTCATCTTCGCCAAGACTCTTCCCTTCTTCTTATTATCTTCCAGTTTCGCGCCACCTGTCTTCTTATCCTTGGACCAGTACCATTTCTCGTCCTGGTTCGGGCAAGTCGTGCTCCGGAACGCCCAACGGTTGTGTAAGATAGAGTGGGATATAGTCGTCTCCCGACCATTGATCGTCAATTCAATGTCTGAGCTCAGCATTGAATGAAACTTGATGTGTCCCATGGGTACGTTGGTGGATAGCCGCGTCACGGTTAGGAGCGGCTTTGTAGAAAGGAATGATGGCATATGAGCTGCTTCTCGAGTTATCAAGAACATCGCAAATCCAGATCGAGAGTCCCACACTTCGTCTTTGCCGAGTCGCACCGGTGGAATTGGACAGCTATCCTCGAAGGCCACCGACTGACTCTGGGTGAGGGCTTGAGGATTTGAATGCGGCGGCAGTGGGTCAGGTTCAATCATTGATGAGATTGTCGATACCTGTGAGTATGAGTGTGGACGCCCCGCTGATGTATCACATGTCGCCAGCGAGTTTGAGTCTTGAGGGGTTGTTTGTGAGAGTACTGAGTCTGAATGCGGACGTGCTGAAGCTCGTTGCTGCTGTGCACTGCTGAAATCAGGCGTGGGCTCAATTGGAGTCTTCGGTGGTCGGGGTGGCACGGGAGGCGCTTGCTCTGGTATGGGAGCTATTGACGAGTAAGTCGGAGGATGGAACGGAGGATGGGAATGCCAATGGTGTGCAGCGGGAGAATGCTGCTGCTGCTGATAGCTGTACGGATTATGTTGTGGCATTGGGGGCCGATAGCCATATGTTCCAAACTGCTGAGGCGGCGGCAGTGGTGGAGGCGGGAAGTGCGATTGCTGATGAAAGTGCTCGGGTACGGAGATGTATGTCGCGCTGTCGTGGAAGTACGGCATGCCATTTGCTCCGCTCTGGGCGCGAGGCCTGTTGTTGAAGTGGCCTTGCGACATTTGGGTGCAAGACACGGCCATGGTGCTTCCGTGCGGATCTGAAGTATCGGCCTCAATGCGTGCGCCTCATTCATTAACTGCGCTGAAGCTGTGTCGCTATTCTGCAATGCTGCCGATTACAAACAGCAGGCAGAAGTGGTGGTCGATGAGTGAAATGGGATAGTCTACCTCCATGCATTCTGCTATGACATCGTTCTGCAGGGCGGTGATTCCATCTCAGACGGCAGCGAAGGGTCAACTCAACCTCTTAGGCCTCAGATCCTGCAGATATAGGCATCCCGATTCTACGCCGGCATGAAGATCTCTCGACACAAGCCGGGCTGAGTAGGAAGACGGATCATCGAGCCCTCGGCCCTAGAACGTGAGGATTCGTTGCCGAGTGACGTGACTAAGCTTGAATACACGGTACCTTCAGCTGTTTCCTCTGACCACAAACTCCATTCATTTCGCAGATTCCATGAATGGCGTGAGATTCCGTCGGGATCCGATTGTCATTACTAACCAAACTTGAGCTCCCGTTCACACCTACAACAGCAGAGTATCAGTCTATATATTGGCAGATAGATTGCAGCGCCGCATCTGATTGGCTGAAAAGTCTCTTGGGCATCTGGCGCAGTAAGTCAACACGGTCTCAACCGTGTCCAATTAATGTCCGTCTAAGTTAACACCTCTCTTCAGGTGGTAGCGCGTCCGCTTTGCATCTTACACCACATTAATTGCGGAAGGTCTAGGGTTCGATCCCCTAGTTGTCCACGATCTTTTGCTCCTTCAGACCCTTTCAAGCCATCTCCAGTGTGCTTTGCTCAACTGGTTACCTGTTGCGGGCCGGATTGAAAATTATTCCTGAAGCCTGATCGTGAAGCTCAGGTAGGTGGCATTCCCTTTTTGCTGGCATTGACGAAGAGTTATTCGGGAGGCAAAAGACAGACTGCATAGCTCACACAGGAGTCGAGGACGCTGGCGGGTAGAGACTTCTCCACTGGGACGAGAGAGACTCAAGACGTGTGAGGAGGAGGTGAAGTCTGAGGTGTATCGAGAACGTGAACTTGAGGCTTGGTTGCAGACCACTTCACACACTTCTCAAGTGGCCGCGATCAGCACAACACGCATGGACATCATGGAATCCGCCAACACCCCCGCGCTACTTCTTCTGGATCTGCCGCCTTCAGCCCTCGCGGGCATCGATCTTCTCAGCTTCACAGTCACGCCTCGATTTCGCGGTGTGAAAGACCTTCCGCCGGGCTTCCACTTCGCTTTCGCGGGAACAAGTGCAGCATTTTCCGAGCGACACGGACTGTGGTTTCGCATCCCAGGCCGCACAGAGTCGAGAGAAACACCGCTGTTTGTGGCGAAATGGGATGCAAAGGAGGAAACGCTGATAGCCGAGTCCGATGACGCTGAGAAGTTGCGATGGCGAGCGAATGTGGGTAGCATCTGGAGGGAAGGACTGACTCCATACCGACAAACGAGCACTGCAGCATCGCAAGACGAAGCAGAGGAAGAAGTCGTTGACTGGCCAATTTTGACGTCTTCTATCACTGCAGCACTTCTCAACCGGATCACTGGTGGCGACTCGACACGATGGCGCTTGTCATCGGCCAGCTCGGCAAGACGAGATATCGAAGACATTCCTGGGCTTAACGAAGACGACAAGAAAGAATTACAGGCAGATCGAGAGCTTTACTTCTTACCCATTGACTTGAAGCAGACGTGGCGAGAGGGCGCAACCGGGCGAGAGCGTACAGAAGCAGCGCAAGACCGAACATGGGCGTTAAATCACGTCGTCGAGCAGCACTGCACGGATGGCGACATGAGCGAGGTCATCGGAGAGATGCAGTTCTGCTTTCTAATGCTTCTGACACTCAGCAACTTCTCATGCCTCGAGCAGTGGAAGCGCATCTTGTCTCTGATATTTACGTGCAAGAGCGCGGTCCAGACAAGCCCAGACTTCTTCATCAAAGCCATTGCGGCACTACGTCTGCAACTACAGCACTGCAAGGACGCCGAGGGAGAACTCATAGATCTCGCCGACGAAGGCGGCTCCTTGCTCAAGCAACTACTTGTCAGGTTCCGGAAAGGTCTCGAAGGGTTGACAGGTACCGGAGTGCAAGATGTAGTTGACGAGCTCGATGATGTTGAGGAGTATCTCCGCCAAGATCATGGTTGGCAGTTCGGTGGTAACTATGCTCGTTCGGGAGTGCTAGAACTTGAAGACGGCGAGCAAGTGCAAATGGAAAGCACGGCTTATGATGAAGATGACGAGACTGGCGAATTTGCACCCCAGATTGTTGATCTGACACCTCAGCAGGCTCGAATGCTCGGTGTTACTGCGCAAGACACACGAGATTTAGGCCTGAGTCTGAAGCAGACGAGCTTGGCTGAGAAAGTGGCACAGGTGGTGGAAAGTAGCGAGAGCGACGAAGAGGGTGAAGAAGAGGCAGAAATATCAGGCCACTCGTTCAAAGTGCAAGAAGTTGGCGATGAGGAAGATATGCAAGATGTCGACGAGATGGATGCTCGCTACTGAGAGATGTTCCTACAGACGGCGTATCACTCAGTGAGTAGCACTAGGCTTCTTCGAGGTGAGATGGACGGCATACAGGCCGAACATAGAGGGGTGAATGCTGGGATCAAATGGTGGTCGTTGGAAGAAGTGAAGGAGAGCTCGGGGAGTGGATTATGTTACCACCCCCGAAAGAACACCGGTTTTTGCCGGTCTGATAGCAGGGATCATCGATACGGAAAAAGGGCCAAGGCCAGGGCAAGGCAATCGAAGTTCACAAAGGCTAAAGCGGCCGCGACTCGTGCCTGTACTGTACGAATAATGTGCTCAGGCGGACGGGGAATTGGCCTGCCCAAGTATCGCGGCCGCGGTGCTCTCGACTCTCCTGCAGAATCTCGCATATGCAAGACAACCAAATGCACAAAGCGGCAGATGTGACCAATGAGCCGTCGAATGGCAGACGCGCCTTCTGCAGCATTTCTAGAAGCACTCTAGACCGAGAGCTCGTCATCGATCGCCCAACCGGTTCGGCCTCCATCTTGCACCTTTTATCGCACCCAACCGGCTTATTACCTTATGCAACACCTAAGTTATTTTCCTTCGCCGCGTGCGCGCGCCGCGCCGGGGTTTACGCTGGAAGGGAACCGGTGGTAGGCTTAACTTGTAATCATGACTTCAACACTCGCATTGCTGCCCACCACAATGCGGTGAGCATCTCTGTTGACCTTGACTACTGTCTCGCTCGCTTCGAAGATTGTCTCGTTTCCCTGCCTACCCACTTCTCCCGAGGACCACTCCAACTCTCCTCCCAACAACATGGCCGCCAAAGTCCCCCTCTCCAGCGTGCTGCCGCCGCTGATCTTCGGAACCGCGACGTTCAACTACCAATACAACAAAGACCCATATGAATTGGACACGGCCGGCCTGGTCAAGATGGCCCTCGAATGCGGCATCAAAGCCTTTGACACTTCGCCTTACTATGGCCCTTCAGAAGACATTCTTGGCGACGCTCTCGACACAGACTTCATCCGAAATAACTTCCCCCGAAACGACTTCTTCTTGATCACGAAATGCGGTCGCATCGCATCAGACGAATTCGACTATTCGAAAGAGTGGATATATCAAAGCGTGCAGCGAAGTCTGCAACGATTGAAGACCAAGTATTTGGATGTGGTGTACTGTCACGATGTGGAGTTTGTGTCTGAAGATGAAGTTATGGAAGCGATCCACGAATTACGAAGAATACGAGATACAGAAGGCACGGTGAAGTACATTGGCATATCAGGATACCCACTGGACGCGTTGTGCTCGATCGCGCGACGGGTGTTGCGAGAGACCGGCGAGCCATTGGATGCAGTCATGTCATACGCAAACTTCACGATACAAAACCAGCTGCTGGCGACAAAAGGAATTCATCAGCTCCGTGAGGCGGGTGTAGATGTTGTGCCGAACGCTTCTCCGCTTGGAATGGGTCTGCTTCGACGAGAAGGTGTACCAATCGGCAGCATGGGCAACTGGCATCCTGCCAGCAATGAATTGCGAGCCGCAGTCAAGCGCGCTAGCGACTTCTGCGACAGACACGACGAGAAGCTCGAAGTCATTGCGATCCGATATGCACTGGAGAATTGGCTGAAGATTGGTGCTTCGGTGGGGTCGCGAGGCGATCCCGCATCTGGAGTGCCCTGGCAGCCTGAGGAGAACGAACGATTCCGCGGTGCGCGATTGGGCGTGAGTGTGATGGGTGTGAGCAAAGAAAGCGAATTGCACAAGACTATGTGCGTTTGGCGATCAATCCTGGACGGACTAGATGGAGGCGCCGAGACGGCACGCCTCGCTGGACGATGGAAGCGCGACCACGAATGGAGCTTGAATCGACAGAAAGCAGTGGCAATCCTGGCAGACGGTATCCAAGAACATCTTGACGCCTATCTCGACTACACTTGGGAGTCTCCTGGGCCAGGGTTTGTGAATAGACGTGCGAAAAAGCAGGGCACATATCTCGAGCCCGGTGCGAATGCGCCCGCGAATTCGCCGTGGACGCCTGCGCAAAGCCCGCAACCCGATGAGTTACCCGGTCCTCCAGGGGACACACAGCGCTTGGCTCTGCGATAGAGAAGACAGAGAGGTGACGGGTGGAGGTGGACAGGCTGAACATGTATGCATGCAAGAAAGCGAAGATGGGGCGGCAATGTGCGATTCGTGTAGAGGGCGGTCGGGCTGGGGGAGGGCCTGTGCCATGTAGCGTGTCTTCGCATGTTTGAGCGAGAGAGACGGAGCTATTCTCATCGTTATTATAGAGGATGAAACGACTATGATGAGCTCGCTGTGGGCAATAATAGGAATGACGATTTCTCACGCAATCATCAAAGGATTTCCACCAGATGCACGATCAGATGAGATGATCGGCGCGCGTGTGCGTGTGCGTGCTCCTCCGTGCGGACTGCGGGCCCCGACCAGGAACAAGCAGCGAAGAGTGAGTTCTGCCGAGAGTGGAGCTTGCTTGCTTGCATTGCTTGGTCTTGGTTTTCCGCTTGGCTTGGTGGTGATGCACCTCCTCATGCCTTGGTCTAGCCGTGCCGTACGCGCCGGCTTATGCTCCACGCCAGCACTCATCACTTTGCGCCGCCCAAACTGGAGGCTTATGCTCTGGCAGTGACACCATCTCATCACCACCCAACATCAAGGCGATGGACAGCGCTGGCGGAGTGCTGCTGTTTGCTCCTCGTCAAGCCTTATCGCAAGCTTGAAGGCTGATCTGCTACCCACTGCCGCTCGGTCCCCCTTCAATCTCCTCCGTGCACACTGTGACCGTTTGCTGGTCTTCTCACAAGCACGAGCACGAGCACGAGCACAGGGAAGGGCAAACAGCTGCCTTACGATTTGACGACGTTATATGATCACTCCGCCCGTAGCTCAATGCTACCGCGAATAGCGCGCCGTTGGGCACAGTAGCGAGCATCACGCCCATATCACCTCCACTGGCTGAGAGAGACGCCGGATTGGCACGGCAACATGGGGAACAGCTCTTCGAAAGACGAGCGGAAGTCGTCGCGGCCCAGTAGCATCAGGAATGCAAGCGGTGCTGCGCAACAGCCTACACCAAGCCAAGCTTCTCCAACCTCACAACATCAGCCCACCCCTGGCGAACGACTTGCCGGACGCATATACGGCGCCAGGAATAATGGCAATGCGAGCGCGAGAGCGAGTCGGAATGATCTGTCGTTTCTGCATATTGGCCGAGCGCGGGATAGAGATGATGAGGCTGCCCAGCCCGAACGGCCGCGGGAGACGAAACAGGAACGTGAGGCGCGGAGGGCGGAAAGAGAACGACAGGCGAGGCTGAAAGAGAGAGAGCGAAGTATGCGGGAAGAGCATGTGGATGGAGGATATCTCGTGACAGTGGGCGTCTATACTGGGCCAGAGGATTTCAGCAAACCTTTGGTCAGGCAGTTCCAGATCGAGCGCAGGCTGGCTCCGTTCTGGAAAGGCCTCAACGATCATGACGAAAGCTGGACGGAAGCACAACTCTTTGCGGCTGCGAGAGGATTGCCCATACCTGCTGCAGATGAAGTGCCTCCAGAGATGGCCCGGACGGAATCTCAGGCTTCCTTCAACGCCCGCGCATCTGATGCTAATATCAACAGCTTGACAGTACCCATTGGTGCAAGGTCACAGTCATACCAATCTGAGACGTCGGGCCTGCTCTCAGCATCACATCCTGCATTCAGCACCAGCTCCGGCCCTTCGTCACCAACGAGTCCGACCTCCACCGGTTCGCAGCTTTTTCGGGGAAGGGCGAAGACTCTGGCTTCCCTAGCCACCGGCAACAAGAGTCAGTCGCCAGATCTCACGCCGCAGGAAATACGACTACCAAACGACCCATACATCAATGGCCAGCCGCTGGAAGCTTATCTCTACAAGGATGCCTCCGAATGTCCTATCTGCTTTATGTACTACCCGCCATTTCTGAACAGAACCCGGTGTTGTGACCAACCCATATGCTCAGAATGCTTTGTCCAAATAAAGAGGCCCGATCCACACCCGCCAGAGCATGAGCAACCAGGACAACAACGACCGCCGGAGGAAGAAGCTGAGATGCTTGTGTCAGAAGTGGCCGCATGTCCGTTTTGCGTCACACCTGAATTTGGCGTGACATACGATCCTCCATCCTTCCGACGTGGCCTCGCATATGCGCATCAAAATCTACCGAACAACCCGACCTCTCCAATGTCATCATCTACGTCTCTTTCCCCTGGACCTACCAGACGGCGAGCCACATCTCTCTCAACGAAGGACCCGAAAGTCATCACGACTGACATGGTGAGACCTGATTGGGCCAAGAAGCTGGCTGATGCACGCGCACACGCGCTGAGGAGGTCTGCTGCTGCGACCGCGTTACACAATGCTGCCTACGTTCTTGGGAATCAAGGTGATGGTCAGTTCCGCACCGGGTTTGGGATTGGCAGACGACGTAGGACGTTGTTTGTCGAGACTCCAAATGCCAGTGATAGTGCCACACCTCAGGAAGGCGATGGTAGCAGCAGAGATCTTGTGGGAGGTCGCGGAAGCTCGCGACGAGGGCGTGTCGAAGACCTCGAGGAACTCATGATGATGGAGGCCATTCGACTCAGTCTGGCAGCTGAAGAAGAGCGCACGCGCAAGGCAGAGAAGGAAGCGGCAAAGGACGCGAAGAAGAAGGCAAAAGATGCGAGGAAAGAAGAGAAGAAGCAGGAAAAGCTTGCCAAGAAGAATGCAGGCGGCTCTCTCTACCACGTGGGCACAAATGATAGCACAAGCACGTGGGCCAGTACGAGCATGGCGCGGTCGACCAGTAATCTTGGCGCCCAGCCGCCGATACCAGAGGAATATCTTCAAGGAAAGGGCAAGCAGCCGGTGCAGGACTTCGCAGGATTCAACCCGCTGAGCGAGCCGACCTCGACACTGAACAGATCAGCCAGTCCAGGACACGCCCCTCACCCATCGACATCGTCAGCAGACGCGCAGCGGCATCTCGAAGCATCTCGAGCAAATCTGGGAGGTGCTCCCATACTGGCCCCCTACCGGACAGTACATCTGCGTGAGACCTCCAATGTGTCATCTGCGGCATCGTCCTTCGTTGACTCAGCTCCATCGAGTCTCAGAGGCGGCGATTTGAGCGTGCCTTCCGGGGCTGCTAGTGGCATAGACGTGACAGCAGGCGCACCGCAAATCGACGGCAGCCGATCTGGCACACCCCTGGGCGCCCACACAGGAGAATCCATGTTCAACTTCCGCTCCTTAGCAGCAATGGTCGACGAGGACAAAGCTGGAGCCGACACATCACAACACATCGAACACGCCCCCTCAAAAGCCGAAGAAGACGTGAAAGAACCTTCTCCCACGGGATCCCCTGTCGCTTTACCCGTGCACATCGATGGCAATCGTTCGAGAGGCGACAGTGGAGAATCTAGTAGTTCCGCCCCTCCGCCTGTATATGTTGAGCCCGCTTCTCCCGCGTATGGGGATGAAATTACGCCGGTCCCGACCCGTACGCACCACCAGCATGATTCGGATTTCAAGGAACATCATAGCGTGAAGATTTTGCATCATCATCATGGCGATCGGAGGGAGACTGAGTTGAGATGAAGGAAGGTTCTTTTCATGACTACAGCATCGGCGTACCAAAGGGAAGGCGAGCGAATCGGTTCATTCTTTCACACCTTGTAGTTTCTTTACTAGACCCGGCATGGCATGGGCAAAGAGGAGTCCATTTTCACGCATGGCTGAGTGAGATGAGTAACGAGAGAAAGAGGGGAGGGGGAGAGGGAGGAGCAGAAGAGATGGGAGATGGGAGAGAGAGAGAGATTGTAGGTATGCAATGCAGAGAAAGTATCAGTATCAGCTTTTGAACATCAATTCCCGTTCGTTGGAACAATTTGGCACGTCTTCGTCCTCGCAGATATGCGATCTTTGGTTTTTTTTTTGCATTCCTTGTGGGCCAGCTAGGCTGTTATGCTCTGCTGCCTCAGCCTTTATGAAGAGTTTCTAATTTTTTTTTTCTTTTTTACATGGTTGGTTGAAATGTAATTTTCGAGAAACCCTATATAATAGCATCATATCGCGCGCGACAATCGTGACTCGTGAGACTATTATTATTATTAAGAAAAAAAATGAAAACTTTTGCGACTCGAGACATAATAATGTCTGAGAGAGAAATGAAAAGAGTTCTGTAAACCTTATCTAGCCCTAACCCTAACCTCTAGACGTAGACGTAGACGTAGACGTAGACGTAGACGTATAGCTGTGAATCGTATTAAAATCGTCAAGAGTAGGCAAAAGCAAGGTCAAAGTCAAAACAAGAAGAGACAATGAAGAAAGTGTTCCACGCTGGTGTCTCTCAAGATTGGAATTTTTGAACTCTCTGTAGCGCGACCTTACCGCCGTACACACATCGACGATCTCTTCCTTCCTCCTTCCTTCTTTTGATCTGCGCTAGTCCATTAATCCCCCTCTGTCCTGCCCTGTCCTATGCAAGAAAACCCCAGCACTCGCTCGTCCGCACCGGAAATTTTTCCCATCCCAGTTACATCCACACAGAAGGAAGAATTGCGCCTCGCTCGCTTGACCCATATAACTAAACTCCTCGCTACGTCCTCCATGCATGACTGGAACTCTTATCATCTGTTTGTTCGTATCTTCGCACCGTGTTTGGGCCGAGTAAGTTACAATTGTGTGTATTCGTATCGATTGGGTTCTTATAAATCACATGTCCAGAAAAAGTCCGATTGCTCAATGTCGGTATCGGTATCGCTGAGTCTCGACCCATATCAAATGCTGCGCTGTCGTCTAATATGCCTTGGGCTGAGAGGCGGGGATGGCCGGATTGGAAGTCGCGGGAGGAGGATTGTGTGCCAAACTGCGATTCAGAGTACCAGGATTAAAGGGATGGCGCCGATTCGGCGCTTGGAGGGTGAATTTACTCCGTGAGGCATTCGTAAAGGTATATGCAGCCGAAGACAAGGAAAGCGCCGGCGCCGCCGATGGTGACTGAGAGAAGGGATTGTTAGCCTGAGTTTGAACATGAAAGACGAGACTATGCTTACCAACACGCATCGACACCCGGCCCGCGAGCGCTCTGCCTCCGATGACTGCCAGTCCAGTACAGCATGCGTGACCGAGAATTGCACCAAGCGTCACCAGCCAGTAATCTTGACCAGCTGCCATTGCAATCGTGGCGATCTGACTTCTATCACCCCATTCTCCAAGGAAAGTCATGATGAATGTCTGCACCCACGCTGGGCTTAGGACCAGACTGAGCAGATTCGTGAGTCCTGATAGCCCGCCTTGTCTCTTGGGTGGACTTGGCGACCTGCTGAGCGGCGGCGAAAGCTCACCTTTTCTTCCTCGTCCTGATTCGAGCTCATATGCAGACATGGAGCCCTTAGATTTGCGCCGCATGGTGTGCTCCTTCTCTTCGAGCTCGGCTTCCACCTCGCGCATTTCCTCACCAATGCCGGCGTCCTTATCCATTGCCAAACCTTCTCGCATACTCTTCGCGCCGAAGACGAAAAACAAGATCGCAGCGGCAAGCGTGGTGAGCTTCTTGGGGAGAATTGTCGGGAATGCGTGACCAAGAATGGCTGATAGGACGGTCATGGCGATCAGAGCAGATATGGCGGCAGAGAAGACCAATAGTCGGGCATGTCGCATGGCCATGAGAGCTGCGACCAAGAAGGTCTTGTCGCCGATCTCAGAAAATATGATCATGGTGAAGGAGAGGACGAATGAGTGGAACCACTCGTGCCATTCCATTTCTTCGACAGGTTTCGAAGCGACGGGTGTAGATGACTTCGACTTTGGCGGTCTTGGATTCGTCTTGCCTTCAGTGTCCGGCATGGTGTCGACAAGCCACTTATCCCTGCCTGCTTCCGGGTTGACTGGTGGACCGAAATCATCCTTCGCCGTCTTGGGCTCGGGATGCGGGATGTTGTGCGGCTTATCTGGCAGATCTGTGGGCTTCTCCAACAAGTAGCCAGCCTCGCCATACCCGCTTGCCTTCTTCGTTGCCGTCTCTCCGGTGGTTGAATGCTTACCATCCTGAATCGGCGACTGCTTGCTCACTGTTGGTGAAGCGCCATCTTTCGATCCCGCAATATGCTTCTCTTCGCTATGCGGCAAGGGAGGAGCCTTCTTTGGTTCCTGTGGCGTCTTCTCTTTACTCGATCCCTCTTTCTCTTTCCGTGCCTTCTCCTTCTCGCTGATACCGCCCTCTGTGCCCGTAGTGCCCTTCTTCGGCGGTGTCCTTGTATCGTCGTTCATGACGCCGTCATTTCTCTCGGGAATTTCCTGCGAGCCAAACCTCTCCAATGATGTTGGAACTGCTTTGGGGGCTGAGTCGGCAGCATTTTCCTTCTTCGTTCGACCATCCTCAGCAGGTCTGTCTACGAAGGGGCCAGCATGCGGTTTGCCGTCCAAGCCATCTACAGGCGCATCTTCGGTGCCCACGTATTTTCTTGTGCTCGTTGGCTTTGTTGCCGCATTCGCCGCAGCTTCATCCAATGCCGCGCCGTCGGTTGTCGGCGTGGGCTTCGACGCGTGATTTAGAGCCAATATGTCATCATTGCTGAGAACCTCTGTCCCGTCTGCTCGTCTGGGCGGGTTGGCGGAGGTGACCAGGGACGGGGCGAGAAGCAGGAGCAGCGGTGATGCCTTTCGTAACCTCATGGTTGGGTGATGTGTCAAAATAGCAGGAATCGAGAATGGAATGGCCCAAGTCGGGCGCGACGGCGAGAAAGGGAGGTCGGCGGCGTGCTGGTTGCACGTCTCGCTGACGTACTCAGCAATGGTGGTGGAAGGGAGGGAGAAGCAGAAAGGAAAGGAGATTGAACGGCTTCGGCTTCACGCAGCTCACTTAGCGCGTTGGGCAGGCGTTGGCCTCAGGCTCAGGCCTTCTGGGGTGGTGGCGAGGCTGGCGTTCGGAAAACGGCTCCCTTCCCGAATCCCGAATGCCAATGAATGCGCAGAGCAAAGCTTGGCGCCGGGGGCCGGGGGCCGGGGGCCTGGGGCATCAGGCCAGGGCGCCGTCTCCTGGCAAGGGAGCACAAGCGGGTAGTCTGTATTCTGCTAACAGATCTGTTTAAGCGAGGTGGGGCCATTACGTCTTTCCCGCCAAGACCCTGTTTTTCTATATTATCTCGGCTAATTACTAGGCCTCGCGTATAGCGCGTTCTCTACTAATAATATTGCTAATAATACTATTAATTATAAAGTTAGTTATAAAGCTAAAGTTAACGTATAGTATAGCCGTTATATTATATTCTAAGGTGTTGCTACCTCTAGTATTGCTACCTCTATATACTACGCCTACTATTCTTACTCTTCTCGCTGTCTCTTACTTATATACTTACTACTATTACTATATAGTAACTAATATAGTACTATCCTCTCGAGCGCGTATATATAGATATTATAGCGTAGACCTATTGCCCTATTAAACTCGATAACCTATAGATCGAGTGCTTAATACTAAGAGCGGCCTAGGCTATAATATAAGCCTACTAGAAGACTTATTAGAAACAGCGAGTCGCTTAGTATTAGTATTAGTATAGTCGCCGTTATATCTCGAATACAAGGTAGTATCGCATAGATAACGTATCTACGAGGCGTATATTATAGATCTCGTATTATAGTAGTCGCTTCTTCGTTAGACTACTCGCTTACTACCGCTATCGAGTTATTATCTATTCTAGCTCTTACTAAGAGGCTGTCTATATTGTCCTTATCTACTATATCGATATCTTCCATCTCTTCTACGTATATCTCGAAGATTGTCTCTAGTATATAGGTAGTCTCGTCTAGCTACTATAGTAGCGGCGGTTATTATTATTATTATAGTAGGAAGTCGTTATAACTCGTTAATAGATAGAAGGGAAGATATACGCGTTATCTCGGCGGTATAATTAGACGATAACTAGTTTATAAAGGAGCGATATTATAGCGCTAATAGGCGCGTTCTTGCCTCGTCCGACTTCTTATAGAAGTTAACCTTAACGTTCTTAAGAAGCGAGTATAGCTAAAGATAGTTAGTCCGCTTAAGAGCACCTATATTATCGTTATTACGCCGAGAAGGAAGGAATACCTCGTCGTCGTCCTTAATAGCTAGTATAATCGCCTATTACTATTTATAGTAGACGCTAGTCGCTTTAAGGCTACCTGCCTCTTTAAAGCGCCGTACGTAGGTCTTAGTAATACCCTTACTAATAGGGTTGTCTTTAAACTTAGCATCAATCTAGATATACTAGCAAGGTAGATAATAAGTCGCCTAGAAATAATATATATACTCTACTAGTAGGTCGTAGATCTTGTAACGCTTAAATCGGCTCTATTATAGTATACTAAGTTTAACGTAAGCTAAAGCCTTCGAGTATTGCTTAGCTAGAAGGACCTAGACTAAATATAGCAATTGCTAGAAGACTTCTATACTACTAATAGTACGTCGGAAGAGAGGCAGTTACTAGCTCCTATTAGCCGCCTTAATAGCTCTATTATGCTACTTTCTATTAGTCTTAATTGCGTAGACAATAATACTAGATAGCGAGAAGTTAGCCTTAGCTACCTTCTTAACTTTAGCCTTGTATTCCGAGTGCTAGCCTTTAACGGGCCTAGTAGTGCGGTTCTATACGAAGGTTAGTAACTAGCATACCTATATAGGAAGAACGGCTAGTTTTACCTATATAAGCAAAGGATTGTCCCGCCTTACGTAAGTATACTATATGCTAGCGTACTAGAAGCCCTATTCCTTCCTTAAATAGCTAGCTAGAGGGTCGTTATTGCCTCCTAGTAAAGCCCTTTCGGTATTAGCAAGCGCTTAAGTATACTCTTTATTATTCTTAACGTTATAAAGTGCCCTTAGCAAGCACCTATAGACCTTCTTATATAGTGAGTTTAGTAGAAACTTCTTCCGAATAATCTCTAGCTAATAGCGCTAACAAAGGCGTAGTTAAACGTCTGGAAATATAGTCTTAATGCCTAACTGCTTACTTACTAAGTCGTTAGTAACTGTCTATTATAATAACTAGCTATTAACCTCGCTATAACTAGCCTAGTAAGCTAGGTGTTAAAGACTAGTAGTATATATAACTCTATGCTTGCTTTCTAAGGCTATATAAGCTATAGGTCGCTATTTTAGATAGTCGTTAGGTACTATTAGATTGCAGAGATAGAAGCTAGTCTTATAGGTATCGTATATATCGTCTATAAGCATAATACGACTATATTTCCGAAGCAATTTAATACTAGCGGGCTCGGCAAATACAAAGCCTCTTCGGAGGCCGTTAGGAGTTATTATTCCGAAGCTATAGAAGTGTAGACCTAGCTTAGTAGCCTTGTTATAAGCAGCTTCTAACTAGACTAGAATATTGCCTCTTGTTTGCTATATAACTTGTCTCTTATTACGATTATAGTATAGCGAAGAATGACCGAGATTATAGGCGTCTTAGTACGCGTTTTAGCTACTAAATAGTCGCCTACTTCTAAGATGTCCGTTTAAGGTATTGCCGATACGGTTAATAATACGTCTAGCTCTCGGAGAGTTGTTTATATTAGTCTTAATTATATTACGGACGTATTTGTTTAACTTCCGGCTATTAAGAAGGTCTAGGTCGTATATATGTGTAAGAAGGGTATATTAGCAGGTAGATAGGGTAGTGGTAGGTACAGGTAGTATTCGATAAGGAGCTAGGAGGAGAGGGAGGAAGGTAGGCAAGTTAGCCTATTACTAAGCGCCAAGCCCTGCCTAAGGCACTAAGACCCTAGCTTTACTTAGCCTGGTTATATACTAATTACGTATAGCCTCTTTAGCCCTAATATACGCTTCCCTTCTAAAGGCCGCGCCCTCGTAGCCTGTCTATGTTCTACGACCTCTATTGCCGCTAACTTAGCAAGTCCGATAAGCTGCTTAGCCCGCGCTAAATTAAACACTTAACTACCTAATTATATAACTATATCAAACCTCACCTCTAAACAATACAATGTACAACTCTAACTGCGCTATCTCTATATATAATAAACTATAAAGTAATATGTATCTATAAGAATTAAAGGCCTTCGACTAATTATAATACAAGCGCGTCTTCCCTACTATAATAGGTAGATATACGAGGTATTGCAGCACTACCTCCGTTCTAAGTAATGTCGTATCGAGTTCTTTGCGTCTACTCTTAAAAGACCTAGTAATGTCCGCTTCCGAGAGTTTGTCCGCTTCCGAGGGTTATTATTCTTATTATTCGTAGTTTCGCTAGCCCTAATTAGCTAGGTTTAGTAGCCTTTAAGTGTCAATCTTATCTTATCTTTTTAAAAAACATAGCTCGTCTAGTTTCTATAGGTAAAGGCTATTATAAGTGCAGTAGTAGAGGTTCGCCTCGCTTAAAGGGTTAGATAGATCGAGAAGTAACCTATTGTCCGCAAGATCGACCCCGGCTAGCTTAGCTCTATAGTTTTTGCCCTTAGTTAGTCTATTAGTCGCTTAACCTTTTAGGCGGCTTAAAGTTTTAACTTAGCCTTAAAGTTTTAATTAAACCTTTAATAGGCTTAAAGCTTTTAATTAAAGTTTTGATTAAAGGTGCCCTAGGCTCGTAGTATAGGTAAGGTTGTATCTATAGGCGCGGTAACAATAGCAAGTAATGTCGATAATAGCGGCGCTAGTCGTCTTAGCGCTAACTTTACCTTGCTTTCGATTTCCTTCTTCGACTAATAATAACTTAGTAATACTGTTACTAATATAGCGGTGTCCTTCCTTTCTTAAATAGTAACACACTCTGTAACACCGTTACTAATATAGCCGCGCTAGCTATCTTCTAATATACCGTTATTTGCACGCGCGCGCGCATTCTCGTCGATTGCCTAGGCCTCGAGGCCTCGGTAGAATAAAGGAACAAGAGGTAGAGTTTTTAAAAGAGCAGTAACTAATTAACGCGTCGTAGCGCGCTTGTTAACACTCGGTGCGCGTTTACTATAGTAGTATAGTCTTATTGTCTCTTATTACTAACAATTGCTTGCCTCTAATTAGTTAGCTAATAGTACCCCGGGGGTAGCATTAATCCTAGGCCTTAATAGTAACATTATAAGCTTTTGGCCTTCTTCTTGTTCTTTACGCTAGTCTAATACTTATCTAATAACTTAGTTATATCTTTAAAAGAGGCTTTAGCTTCCTACGAGTCCTATTTAGGTAAATAGCCTTACTATCTTAATAGGTACTCCTTCTTACCTTTCCTAGTCCGGTACTATAGGATACGTTCTACAGACTACAGCTCTTTACTATCCGCTAGTATGTCTTCGTGTTTAGTAGGGGCTTTATCCCCCTCGCGTAGGTAATATAGCTTAAGGAGGGATACATAGAAGGTGTTATAGATAGTGTAATAAGGAGGAAGCTATAACTAATAGGCCTATGCGGAGGAGCCCTTAACTTCTCGAATGCGGAATAGACTAATATATCTTAGTGCGAGCTTAGGCCTTGTTTTGCCGTTAGGTAATAGGTGCTTGCGGATGCGGAGGTTCTTAGTGCTTAGCATAACTATATCGCCTTGTTTAAAGGTTATTAGCATATAGTACTTGTCGTAGTAGGTCTTTTAGTACTCTTAAGCCTTTATTAACTTCTCGGCTATCTTAGTATAGATTTCTCGTATCTTCTAAACCCTCTTAATAGCCGCTAGTGTTTCGGGTACTTAACGCGCTTCCCTTTCCTTACGCTCGGCCTCGAGCGAGGTAAATAGGTCTTATAGTAAGGCAGCGTTCTAGCCTATTATAGCAAAATAAGGGGAGACCTTAGTAGATAAGTAGACACTATTAT